TATAAGTTCACTCATGGGGTACTAGAATTTTACACTATTTCTCGTAAATACTCCTACACATAGTACTTGCACAATATTATCGGTTATGAATAAAATAAACACAATACATAAGTAAAAACAATATAAATAAATTATCAACTTACTTGTGTTATAAAGGGACGAGTGCTATAGAAAGAACATAATTGGAATAAGGTTTATATAAAACTATGAGTCATTAAGTTAAACGTTTTAACTTCAAAGACTGATGCAAGATGATAGTTGGAATAAGAAAAAGGCAAAACAAACAAATAACGAGCTCATGAACCACAAATAATCCATATATCAAAATAGAACATATTCAGTTCAAATATTCCATAAATACTTTCAAAATAAAAAAAAATACTCATACAAGTTCAGAATATAAACAATTCAAAATAACTTAGAAGAAAAATTCTTTGCAACTCTTTCTTTTGAAGAAAAATTAAAACTTTACCATTGAAGGATCTTAATATTAACTAACTAAAAAACTATGGAGCATCATTCAAATTTTAACAAACTTTTATCTAAAAATCAAATAAGTAAAATGAACTTGAACAAATGAATAACTACAAAAGGGAGGAACGAACATACGAATTTAGGGAACTCGACTTAGATAGCATAGAATATGTAATCTTTGCTTGTTTGCATACCTAGGACATCAAAGGAATGAAAGTCGGTGTTATAGAAAAGAAAAAATCCAAAGTAAGCTAAATATTACTTGAAATCATTCTCACTCAGGTCTGCACTCACCATTACACACGAAAAGTCTCAGTTACAAAGTAAATTCAAACTAATGTTACCAAATGGACTTAATCAGCTTCACCTTTATCATTAGGATCTTCGTGCCATTTTCCAGAGGTGTAGTTCCATTCTCTTGCTAAACTTTCGTCTTTCTTCCTGTCAGATTGAATCCACCTACTCTCCCATCCATCTTTAATATTACCAACAAACATAGCTAATAAAAGGCAAAGCAAGGTTTCTGTATTTACAGTTAAAACAAAATGTGTCAAAGTAGAACTTCATTTTTCAATCTGTCGTGTTTAAAGGCAAAGCAAAGCAAAATGTTTAAAAGAGCTTCATTTTTCATTTTTCACTTCCTCCATTGCTTGATTGCAGCTCATTAGGTAATCCCAATAAATACTCTGGTAGAAGTCAAACCACTTCAGCAAAGAGATAGTATTATTAAAATTATATCTTGATGAGTTTGATTAATCCCAAGAAATATTCTTGTGGAAGTCCAATCTCTTCACCAATTAATAAGAGGTCACTAACCCATTGAAACATATACAATCAATAATGGGTAATTAATTAGTTTAAATGGTCTAGTTTAAGAATAGCAAAAAGCAAGTGTCGCAATTCAGCCTCTTTTCTTAGTTCATTTGCAATATTAAATAAGCAGTAATCTTATTTAATTTAAGCATTTGGGAAAACCATACTTGATCAGTCTAACTAGTCAAAACCTTCTTACCTAAATTTGAAGGAGTTCAACATGACATCTTGTCCAACATCTACTTGTAAAGTGCTAAATTATGCACAAAATATAGCAGAGAAAGATTAGTAGTCCTTTGTTCTATTTTAAACACTAATCACCAAACTGATATGCTGCCTGAAGCCCCAATATCAATGTCAACATTTGATCAAGGACCCCAATTATGGTATGGACATTTTTCCCCTTAGAGATCATAGCAACAACTACTTTATTATTTTTTTTTCCATTTTCATTACTACTAGTTAATAAGCAAGAAAGCAATAAGCCAATCATTGAAATGGCTCTTAGAGTTGTACCACTGATTAAAAGTTAAAACACACGAGGTCTCCTCTCTCAAAAGAAAAGCCTCTTCCAATCAACACAAAAGAGGGGGAGGTGCCCCAAAAGGCATGAAAAAAGCAAAAGACATGGTCCACTCATTGACACGTCTTAGACAAAAGACAATTACTAGGGCAGAATAGTGAGAGGCAGAGTGATTTTGGAGCCTTCTTCTCCTCTGCTTTGGAAGATTTTAACACTAAATTTTGCAACATGGTTCCCTTCTCTTTTTTGAAGATTCGAAACAACCTAAAAAAAAGACCCAGCATGTACGATTTCAAGAAATTTTCAAAAGTGTTTGAATGATTTTAACACTCTTGTCATAATCAATAGCTCTCAAGTTAGCACCATGAAATTTTCAAAAGACAAAAATCTAAGTAGATACGACAAACATTGACGAATTATTTTCAATTTCAACCAAGAAAAGAAAAAAAAAACAACAATTTTGAGGACATTTTAAAGGTAAAAGATTTTTAACCTAGTTAATGTATAAATACTAGCTTCGGTTGGACCGACACGAGTCCTCGCATCATTAACATTCCATCCTGTTATATGTAAAGCAATGGCCAATTGATCATTTTAAGTCATTACCTTCATCCCAGCAAATCATCATTCATCCATTAGCTCCACTGCCGTCGCCATTCAGACCCACCATTCAGATCTGCCGCCGTATGTTGTCCGCGAGTCACTCGGCCATTCGTATTTGCCAGTGCTCGAGGTTGAATCGCGCTTTGCTGTTCAGATCTAGAGATTCGGAGAATCATCATTTAGATCTGGAGATTCGTTTCTGCTCGAGTTTGCTTTGTTGTCATCTTCTATGAGGGATCTCTTGGTGACGAGGAATCTTGGAGAGGGAGGGTCATGAGAGATGGAGAAGGCGGGGGAAGGGTTTCGACTCTTCGGGGAAGAAGTGAAATTGGATTTCAGGGAATTTTGGGAGGGAAAACAATTATTTAT